ACTTTGTTAAGCTCCATCCCAGGAAGCCATCAGCCAAATATGAAGATTCTATACCTTTTAGTTCTTCAGAAGAAGTCGTTTGAAGTTTTTGACATATTTGACCCCTGTGACCTTTAAAGTAGGTCAAGGTCATTTTCGTTCTCAAACTTTGTAGGGCTCCTACCAACAAAGCTTTCAGCCAAATATCATGACTCTAGGCTTGTCCGTTCTTCAGAAGAAGTTGTTTAAAGGAAAAGTTGACGGACACGGACGGATGACGGACGGACGACGGACGCCGCACCACGACATAAGCTCACTTGCCCTTCGGGCAGGTGAGCTAAAAATTGTCCAATTTATTTCTCAGACAACAAAATAAGATTTATACCTTGCGTTTACATCCCTTTGAGTATTTTTTCATTTTAAAGTCTTAATGTACCAAAATAATATCGTGTCATAAAGAACTACATGACAGAAGTGTCAAATCCGTTCAAGTATGTTCATGTTTAGTTTGATAAATAAGCTTTCTGGAGTATTGTCTAACCATGATATAGCCACCTCTTATTTACCATTAAACCAATAAAGTACATGTAACTAATTCAAAATCCACTGCTCGTACAAAAATAATATAAATGATATGACATTTGACCCCTTGTTGTGGTCTTGACTGTTCAAGCACAAGAGTCAATATAATTATATTTAGCTGTTCAGAAATGAAGGCGTCTCATGAAAATATGTTCAACTGTTCATTTATAGTTTTTGTCAAGACAAGCACCACGTTTGTTTTAACACCTCAATGTGACCTTGACCTTTGTATAATAAATATACAGCCAAAAACTAGATGATGACATACAAATAAATCATGAAAATCTATTTTTTGTTGATAAAAAAGTTTTCATCTGTTTCTACTTGTTGCAGGGACTAGTAAGATTCTAAAATCACCTGCCACCTGAAGAAAAGTACTTCTTGCTGACATGCTATGGGTGGTTTCCTGTGTCCTGAGATGACTATAATAATGCCCTATAAAACTGACTATATAGGTCAGCTACCTGGTCACTGGTGTTCTCACCTGTACATCACCAGCGTGTAGCGTCCCCTTGTGGCCACAACAATCCTCGTGCATCCCGGCCCCTTGCAGTACATATGATACCTGTAGATTACAAATTAACAATTCAACATGATTACAGTGCAATAATTATTAAAGTGAAGCTCAATCATAGTTTTTAAAATATCTGTAAAACATAAGAAATTTAAGCTATGTAAATATATTCTCAAAGGACTTCATTTTAACCCTTTCACCACTGTAGACCATCATGGACTCATCCAGATCAATGCATGGAAGAGTTTACTTAAGTTACATAAGGGGTGAAAGGGTAAATATGTATCTCATTCTATACTTACGGTCTCAAACCCTCTGTGAGGATGGTCGGGGAACCCTGCTGGAGGCGTCACATAAAACTCATCCAGCATCAGAAACGGATCCAAGTAATCAACCTTGGCAAAAAAAAATATGTACAAAATAAAAGTTGAAGTTTAGCTTTTCAAGTTCTCATCTTTTACTACTATACCATTGCTTTGCTAGATTGTACTGCTGCTATTTCACAGCTCCAGCATTCATCTACAATGTATTACTTAGAGCAGTGATTTTTCTACCTCCTCTCCACAGGGACCTGTGTCTTGCGACTTTGGAAAAATGTCACCCATAAAGAAAACATGATTTTGGGAAAATAAAGTGATTTTTGCATTGATATTGGGATAATTTAGCAGAAATTATCTTAGGGGGAATAAGGGCCTTAAATTCACCCTTAAACAAGAGGCCCAGAGGGCCTGTATTGCTCACCTGAATATTTAAGCAGTTAAAGCAAAATATTCTCATTCAATAGTATATTGCACTACAAATATTTCCCTCGCAAACTTTGTCGGCTCCATCTGTTGAAACTACCAGCCAAATATTATTATAAGATTCTATGCTTTTTGGTTCTTCTTCAGAAGTAAATTGACATATTTTTCCCTGTGACCTTGTAAGTAGGTCAATGTCATTTTCCTTCTCACACTTTGTTATCTCTATCCCAAAAAGCTACCAGCCAAATCTTATGAATCCATTCCATTTGGTTCTTGAGAACAAATCCTTTAAAATGTTGTTGATCTCTGTCCTTTAAGGTAGGTTGAGGTCATTTTCATTCACAAACTTTGGTGAGCTCTATCCTAGGAAGCCACCAGCCAAATATTATAATTTTATGCTTTCAATTATTCAGAAGAAGCAGTTTGATGTTTTTGACATATTTGACCGCTGTGACCTTGAAAGTAAGTCAAGGTCAATTTCATTCTCAAACTTTATCGGGCTCCATCCAAGGAAGCCAACAGCGAAATATGAAGATTCTATACCTTTTAATTCTTCAGAAGAAGTCGTTTGAAGTGTTTTGACATATTTGACTGCTGTGACCTTGAAAATACATGTACATCAAGGTCATTTTCAAAATATGTTGGGGTCCATCCCAGGAAGCCATCAACCAAATATGAAGATGTTATACCTTTTAGTTTTTCAGAAGAAGTTGTTTGAAGTCAACATATTTGACCGCTGTGACCATGAAAGTATGTCAAGGTCATTTTCATTTTCAAACTTTGTCTGGCTCTATCTCAGGAAGCCAACAGCCAAATATAAAGATTCTATACCTTTTAATTCATCAGAAGAAGTCGTTTGAAATGTTTTACATATTTGACCGCTGTGACCTTGAAAGTAAGTCAAGGTCAATTTCATTCTCAAACTTTATCGGGCTCCATCCAAGGAAGCCAACAGCGAAATATGAAGATTCTATACCTTTTAATTCTTCAGAAGAAGTCGTTTGAAGCGTTTTGACATATTTGACTGCTGTGACCTTGAAAGTACGTCGAGGTCATTTTCATTTTTAAACTTTGTTGGGCTTCATCTCAGGAAGCCTCCAGCCAAATATGACGATTATATACCTTTTAGTTCATCAAAATTTGACGAGTCAATCGGGCTACAGAAGCTGTTTATAGAACCACTAGTCCAGCTGGAGATTTGGAAATTATAAATTCATTGTGTACTTCTGCCATTTCAATGTTGCAACTATGACTTCTGTATTATATATGTCTGTATTAAGTTATACATGTAATATACCTCTGGCAATCCAATGCTGCGCCGTACAACTGCCCCAATATCCTCCTTCTGTTCATCTGCATACACATCCTGTCTTATTGTTTTGATTGACATCTTTGGTGGTGTAACCGTTTCACTGAGTATATTCTGTTCTATATATATACTTTAACAAGCATTCTCTGTCGGCCAAACTTTACTGGTAACGATCGAGACTGGTTTCAGTGTTAATGGGAAACCTGTAATCATAAATACATAATTAATATGACAGGCACAGAAATTGTGCTTTCAGTCATGACAGTCTGATTGACTGGTACTTACACAGGGACCTGCTAATTTGATACAGCTATACTTGGACCTAGACTGGTACTTACACAGGGACCTGAGAATTTGATACAGCTATACTTGGACCTAGACTGGTACTTACACAGGGACCTGAGAATTTGATACAGCTATACTTGGACCTAGACTGGTACTTACACAGGGACCTGAAAATTTGATACAGCTATACTTGGACCTGAACTGTGGTGCTAAGAGTAATAAATCATGTTACAGGGATTTTTACCGAAAATGGATATAAACTCCCTAAAACATGAAAAAAGTCACTCTAAACACATCAGTGATGGTCCAAATATAGCCAACAGGTATCCAACTACCTGTGCCATCATGCAGCCCACGGAACGATCCAAGCTGTCCACGGATATTGATGTTACACCTACAGTGTTTTCATATGACTGCGACAGTACACATACATTGGACGTTTAATTATCCAATCTGACAACACATACGTTTATCATTCCTCCCGGGGCAATTTTATGCGAGATACAGCCAGTGATTGTCCAGGAACTTCCTACTGTTGATGGAGAGGTGGGAGTACCGAAGTCATTTATGGATAAGATGGACTTTACCAATTCAGCTGTTACGGAGGAGGAACTACAGCTAGGAACGAAACTCATTCAGGGATACAAGGATATATTTTCACACGGAGATACTGACCACGGATGTACTAATCTTGTGAAACATCAAATTGATTTGACGGATCCAGTTACTTTTAAACAACGCCATAGACGGATACCACCTTCTATGTATGACGAAGTAAAGACTCATCTTCAGCAACTTTTCGCTGCGGGAGTCATCAAACCAATTAACCTACAGTCCTTGGTCATCGAACATTGTTCTGGTGAGGAAAAAAGATGGATCATTGAGGATTTGTGTGGATTTCCGACGGTTAAATCAACGCACCATTCGGGATTCATACGCGTTACCACAAGTAGAGGACATCCTGGACTGTTTAGCTTGATCACACTACTTTACTGTGCTGGATTTAAAGTCAGGTTATCATCAGGTTGAGCTTGAGGAAGAACATAAGGAGCGAACTGCATTTACCGTCGGCCCACTGGAGTTTTATGAGTTCACGAGGATGCCTTTTGGACTTACAAACGCTCCATCGACGTTTCAACGCCTGATGGAAAGATGCATGGGAGAACTACACTTAGCTATATGCCTGATATATCTTGATGATTTAATCATCTTTTCGCGAACGCATGAGGAGCACCTGGAATGACTAGGAAAGGTTTTTTAGAGACTCGGAGACAACTGTTTGAAGCTTGCGCCTAAGAAATGCCAGTTCTTTATGAACAGAGTTGCCTATGTTGAACACATCGTCACACCGGAAGGCATTGAGGCAGATCCCAAGAAGTTTGAGAAGGTACGAGACTGGCCGACACCGTCTAATCCTGAAGAACTCCGTCAATTCCTAGGTTTTGCTGGTTACTACAGGAAGTTTGTAAAGGATTTTTCGAAGAGTGCGAGACCTTTTAACTGACCTGTTACCACCGACCAGAGTAAAGAAGAACAAAGGAAGGACAAAGACTAAGATAAATGGCGTTAAGTGGACATGGGCATCGGAGCATGATACATCGTTAAAAGGCCTGAAGGAAGCGTTATGCAATCCACCTGTGCTTGGATATGCTAACTACAGTCAGCCGTTTGAGCTTCACACCGATGCAAGTACCTTAGAACTAGGAGCCGTTCTATATCAAGAGCAAGATGGACAGTTATGACCTATTTGCTACGCCAGTCGAGGATTGAGCAAGGCAGAAAGGAATTACCCGGCTCATAAAGTTGATTCCTGTCGTTAAAATGGGCAGTTACCGTAAAGTTCCATGACCATCTATATGGACAGACGTTCACCGTTTTAACGGACAACAACCCGCTGACCTACGTTTTGTTAGAAGCTAAGCTTGACGCGACGGGACATAGGTGGTTGTCTGCTCTAGCGGCATACAACTTTGATATTAAGTATAGCTTTGTCACGGCTTCCGGGATGTAACATATCATCAGAATCTGTCCAAGCCGTCTGTAAAGGAGCAACTTTTTGTAATGGATCATTGGTGCAAAGCTTGAGCTTATCAACAGAGGTATTGGATATGCTTGACGTTGATCACGAACATGGTTTCCAAACCATGACACCCCACCAGTGATGGAACTCTTCAGGCGGGGGACGAGGTTATTGGGGAATGGCTTCCCATCATAAGGACGAATCTAAAGCCAATACGGAAGAGGTTATCAGCTATACCAGAAAACGCTACCCTTAACAGATGCTGGGATAGCTGGAAACTGAAACGTGGTGTGCTATATAGACGGGTATCTGATGGTGAGACCGATGTGGACCAACTTGTACTTCCGGTTGCCTTGCGAGAGAAGGTCCTGACCTCATTACACAAGATGTTTTAGTGATCACTGACCATTTTACTAGATGTGCCAAAGCCATTCCAACTCGAAATCAATCGGCTTCAGCGACAGCGGAGGCTTTGCAGGGATTTATTGAACATTACCGAATTCCGTGGAAATTACATTCCGACCAAGGAGCTAACTTTGAGGGGAAAGTAATAAAAAGTTTGTGCGACACATTTCATATTACTAAATCGAGAACGACAACATACCATATCCTAGCGGAAATGGAATGTGCGAACGCTTCAACAGGACCCTGATGTTTGGCACATTGGAACCGCATCAAAAGAAAGACTGGAAGAGCTTTGTGGGTGCTCTCACATATGCGTACAACTGTACAGGGCATAAGACGATGGGTTATTCGCCATTTCAGCCAATGTTTGGACGATATAGCCACGATTGCCCATTGATCTATTGTGTGGATCAAGTAAACGAGGAAATTTCCCCAACTAACATGCCGGATTATGTCAAAAACATGAGGAACCGGATGTCACATTCGTTCAGCTTAGCGAGTAAGAAGGCTCGGGACTCCCCAGAAGGCAGGCTACGATCTACATAGTAGAGAAGTCGTTTTGGAACCGGGAGACCGCATTCTTGTTAAGGTACTTGTCCTTGATGGACGACACAACCTAGCAGATCGCTGGGAGCCTGACGTATTCATCGTACAGAGTCAATGCAACCCAACATTGACATTCATATACATCATACTTCGAGAGAGTGATGAAGGAAAGAGTGGCTATAGCCAGGTAGTTGTTTGACATGTTTTAGCTTATGTGATTGTATGATTGTTACAATATGTATAGTAATATCATATGATGTATTTCATGTTACAGGGGTTTTACAAGTAATAAACTTAACTAAAAGAAAAGAACCCGGGTTGTCATGTATCGCAAATAAAGACGACTATTACAACAAATTCTCATGTCCCTGTGCTACTGTATGTTGTCATTTTAAAATAATTGATTGCAAATTTACTTTCCAATTCCAGGTAAATTAAAAAATAAAACATTGTTGGTAAAAACGTAAAGCATATAACTGTTAAACAGTTTAATTTTATTCTTGCTTATTCGGCAATTCCACCTTAAGCACAGGTGCTGGACACGCCAGACTCCTGTGCTAATATGATGACAGTGATATGTAATATCGTGCACGGACAATGGTCATCACGGCCTATGCTAATTTTGTTCAGGCCAAAAGAACCACAAATTAAGGCTCAAACTGTTTAGCAATGCAGCTGGATAAGTAAATTAACATTGTTATCATTTTTGCATCAGCTTATGTTTTAAGTCTTCGTCACAACCTTCATCTTGTCTTGGCTGATGATATGGTCAGCCTCTGAAAAGATGCCGCAGTCAGTGAATATGTGATCACTCCGGCTAAATATGATGAAAACTTAAAATAAGCTAACATAAGCCACTCCAAAGATGACTGCACTTATTATAGTTGAAATAATTTCCAAGCAAGAAAGTGAGAGACCTCACAACGAATTAAATCTGCAGTACATGAAATATAAACCCACCTTTGACAGAATCCCCATTGACAGCAGCGGGTTTATTACGGGTGAAGGTCACACTTGCATGCAGTTTTCTATCTCCACAAGAAAGAGTTCCAGTGTCTGTTACCTCTACTTTCGTTTTGATGAATCGGTGATTCACATACGATTGAATTGATCGACCCTTTCTCCTATATTTAATTATTCCGCACGTGTCCAAGTTAACTAGTAGTCATACAGTTCTACCCAGGTTATATTAGATATGTAGTTCTAACTAGTAATAAATGTAGCTAGGAGTAGCGTTGCTTAAGTCCGATATTTTTTTAATATTTAGGGAAGATGGTCAGTCGAGACCCGAGTTAACTATTTATTTAATTTTTGAGAGGACATAATAAGTTATTTAGATAATCCTATCCTTTGTCTGACTTCATCTTTTTTAATAAATAAACAAATAAGACAAAAAGTGTAAAAAAAAAAAACGGAGCATCTGTGGCAAGTTTTAATTGTACATATGATTATATATCTATCAAGAAAATCCTGATCCTGATATTTAGGACCAGGCGAGACACGTGAACTTCATAACAAGGGAAGTTGGGGTATGTTACTACTGAGAAATGAGAGTTCTTCATAAAGTTGGAATTATGCGGCTGACCATTAAATTTACTTTTACTTTCATACGAAAAACACATATCGACTACAATTCAGAGGTGCACATCATTAGTTTCCATTTGAACATTAGCAACGTTAACTATACATACTCATTACATGCTACTAGGCCTATATCATATCGTCCACTGCAGCCAACGTGGGAACCCTATGCAGAATCGGGATTTGCTTTTGTGTCCTCTTGAGACTTCTTGGGGACACAATATATCTCCAGCAACCATTGCAATATTTTGGATCTTTACATTTTCTTACTACCCCCATAATAACATCCCTAACGCTTTGTTAGGCTCACCTCACTTTTGGTCGTATTGATTGTTGATCGTCCGCTCAAGTGATGAAGGCAATTAGGTTCTGTCCCCAGGCCGGGACATACCGAAGTCCTTAAAATGGTAGTTGTTATTTCCTGGTTAAAAATTGACAGTGTAATTGCAATCGCAACAACAGGTTTACCCTTTGTCGGTATGGTGTGACTGGGTGAAATGCTATGCTGGGTGCCATCGACATGGTATTACATTGAGGTAGCACTCCAATGTTCGGCATCGGATCTGAGCTACATTTGTATCCCAGAAAGACAGCTATACACCAGCAAATATGCATATATATGCCCTGCCTCCAGCACACCGACATAACTCACATGGAGACACGTCCTTATAAATTAAATGACATAAGCTGTTATACTACGTAACGATAGATATACTAAAACTGATTCAAACAGGGAATTGCTTCGGTTCCCCGTTAATAAAATAATTTAATATGGACAGAGGCAAAATAGTATATTGTCAAGTAAGGGATCGTATCATTACAGGGGTCAGGAAGGAAGGGATGTCCTGTTTGTAACTTAAACGATTCAGCCCTTCAGGTAAATACAAACGTTCATTTCAAGACCATACCATAGCCGTGAACGTTTCAATGATCCATAAGGCTATTAATTTAAATGATTTAATAAAGTGCATTGATTTTTTTAATCGTTGATCACTGGTGACACGTACAATATATAACCAGGTTCTATTGCGCTCTGACAAATAAAACTATTGATAAAGCAATCATCGGACCATGACCGATTTAAATTTGTCACGTACTTAGGTTAATGAACGTTAAGGCCGACTGAAAGCAGGTGTTAAGATTTATAAGCATAATTAATCTTTCATTTATTCAAATAGGATGTATACGATATTTTAATTAAGTTGAATATATTATGTATATTGCCTCAACTGAATACGACGGGTAATACATGGATTATAATTTCCATCGATAAGTTTAACATATTCTTAATGGAAAATACTAGTAAATATTCGGACGTCACCCTTGACTATTATTCAATCATTATTTACTAAAACTGAAATATTTAAAGCTCCACAGTAAAATAATTAAAAGGCCGATATTAGCATTTGTGACAAAACATTGATAACTGTTTTATTTTTACACGTACATTGCATTATGGATTCGCCATCACGACTCATTTAAAAAGAAGTAAGTTGGAGAATTTATCGTCAGAGTTTGTGGAAAACTATCTCGGTTAATTGGTTTTAGTTTAATAATGGCACTTTGGCGCTTGCATTACACATACAGTATCATACACTGATATATGTATTACACACAGACGCACTTGTTTGAAGAATTTTTCAATTAAAGACTAGATAAGATACGATCATAGTCGAAGTACAGAAATAAAATTAAATACTTCTTTCGTAAGGTAATTGTGCGTATTCAAACGTTTATAGATATATAGACGTTAAAGCCTGCGGTTCAAATACAGTATAAAAAAGGTAGTTAGCACCAATTTACGTTCATGGCGAAAGACACGCTAATTTGTTTAAATGGTAATACATTCTGAAAAAAAAGATAATTACACATAAGTATGCCTCCGCAAGCACAGGGACTTGGCACAATAAATGGGCCTAGTTTATCTATTTTCTTTATGCTTAATATAACTCGGCATAACGTAAGACGTAGAAACCCATAATATTGTTTATATATAAACTTCACATACTTACAATTTGTTAAATTAGCATCAGTTCAACAATAGAAAGCAAAAATAACAACTATCCTCTGTTATACCGACGTTCATATGCATGTACTTCCGAATATAGTGTCAAGGCCCTGTGCTTGCAACCGGATATACAAAATAACTCCTCTCATAAGGTGTAATTAATCGATAAACAGGTACAGGTACTTGTACTTTATCGCCTATATCCGTTTACAGTTTTTGCCGATTATACATGTAACGTGATAGTGTATATGATTGCAGCGATTTAAACCTCAACAACGACAGTGTGACGGCCAGTCATATCAACTTGTTATAAAATTTGCTCCTATGTGCACATAATATGTTTTTTAGATGACCAATTCCATAACGCCTCAGACAAAATTAAAAAAAAAAAGGTTTCAGAAATAACTTATTAAGATTCCATATATAGAAACTACAGTAGTGTATGAACCCTGTTAAGGACTATGAAAACTAACCAAACTTCGGTAACATGATCTCTATAGAGCTTATGTTTCAAGGTAAGGAGTTGTTGATTGATATTAGCTACAATGTGCCTCACACAGTATACGTTTAAACCCGTTAAGATCGATATATCACGGCCCCCTCTGCCCAGGTATGTATAGGTACGTTATGTAGATTACGCGAAGGCGTATATAGGGCATTGTCATCACGAGCCGTGCATAATGCAGGTATACAAACATACCTTAACGAAAAAGATCGATACCTTAAAGCGCCGAGCGAGCTGAACCATGACTCGACTGACCTGAGCGTGTATGGGTGTATGCGACGATCGCGAGTTCCTAAGAAGCTTGATAGTCAGCCAGTTCTAGTCGGGGTACGTCTTTAGGATACGACACCAAAATACGTAATACTACGGATGGACCACGCCCTCCAGCTGCCTGGGGAATCGGGGTAGGGTAACAGGGAGGAGTCTACGACACATTGGGTAAGCCTTGTGTTAAATATATATGCATTGTACTGTCGGTCCATTTTTGTATCATTATGTATTCTATTTCACAACTACCAAATCGATCAGTTTAAATCCTTGTCATAGCCACTACTCACAAGTAGCAGGTTCTGACGCGCATTTTAACGTCAAACCAACAAACGCTTTTGTATTTGGCGATGTTCAACCATTCATGTATACCGATATCCTCGTTAATTTAAGTATGTTCCTTGTTCAACTATTTACCCGATTACCTCATGTAAAAGAATGTAGAAATGTACTATATTATCATCAGTTCTGTCTGTTTCGCATTTCAACAGGTGGTGTTCGATTAAAACATAACCACCACGTCTCGCCTGGCATACATACCATACAACTTTAAAAGGAATTTATCGACGTAAACCGAACATCTGAAATCCAGCATGTCGAACCTGAACGACCCACTGCAGTGTGGACTGTGTTTAAAACGCCACAGAGATCCCAGGATTCTGACTTGCTTTCACAGTTTCTGTCGGGAATGTATAGAAAAACTGATATCTACCAAGAAATACAAATTGACTCTCCCCTGCCCCCTGTGTCAAACGGAAATAGGAATTCCGAAGGCTGGAACTAAGGCTTATCCGGAGAACTTTTACATCCGGGCCATTCAGGCAACTGCCGCGTTCTCGACTATCTCCACGTGTGACACGTGTGATAAAACTAAGGAAGAGAGCGCGAGCTCGAGGTGTTTAGAATGCGAGTGTAACTACTGTAGCGCGTGCACAGGCCGCCATTTTGAATCCGACACAACAAAAGAGCACCATCTCATAGAGCTGTGCAAAACGGAAAACAAGACGATCACGAATTTGACTCATAAATCGTTTTGTGAAAAACATAAAAATGAAGAGACAAAATTTTACTGTATGCTTTGCGAGATGCCGGTTTGTAAAGAGTGTGTATCGAAAGTGTCGGATCACAAGGGGCACCGATACAAGAGCATCGGCGATGGTGCCAAGGAAAAGAAAGACATTATATCTCCCATTATCAAAAGTATGCATGAGTATTTGCCAGTTCTTGAGGAATATCTAGAGGAAGTTAAATCGTCTAAGAAGATGCTCGGCGATTATTCTTCAGATAGCATCAAGGAAATCAAAGCACGATGTCAGATGCTGCATGACGAGATAGAAAAGATTAGTAAGACGTTGGAAGAACAGGTTCAGAAGAGCGAAGACAAAGAGAACCAGCGACTGGACAAACACATCAGCCTGATAGAGAGACTCCTGAAATCTCTGTCATACACGACAAGTTCGTCGGAGGATATCACCAGTCTCGCCAGCGACAGCGAGTTTGTCATGATCTGCGCGAAACTACAGAACCGATTCAAGAGGATAAACCAAGAAGTCCCCTCTTCCGGTCTCATCTGCTGTGAAAGCAGCAACTTCCATCCCGGTGATATGGAGGGCAAGAATTTGTATGAAATGATAGGGTATTGTGATGAAAGCGACGTCAAAATGCCTCTGCTGCCAATTCCATGGGGTCTCCGAATGGCCTTGACCTTTGATGTGACACTTATGTACAGTTTTAAGGTGTCTGACACCATGGATACGATTCACGCAATTGCGCCCGTGTCTGAAAAGGAGGCGTGGATATGTTGTGGGTGGGGGACCACCAAGATGGAGCTATGGACTAGGGAGGGGGAAAAGAAGAACACGGTAACCTTACCAGTACAAGTCGACGACATCTGTGTAAAGCCTAATGGCGAAATTCTAGTGTCCAGTTACGACGGGAAGAAGATTGTCAAACTGGACAATGACCTCAAACCGACCGACTTTGTACAGCTGAACTGGTATCCAGGCGGAATGACATACTCAAGTAAGAGGAAGGAGCTACTGGTGTGTGCAGTGGATAGTTACGTCACAACACGTTCCAAAACGTCTCGTCGCATGGTGATTCGTATAAAGGAAGATGGTACGGTGCTGGACCAGATAGAAGATAACGGCTTCAATGAAGTGTTCTGCGCCCCCTACCGGCTTTACGAGAATATGATAGGGGACATTTGTGTGACAGATCGCGAGGAGACCAATGTCAGGGTCACGAGTCTGACAATGGACGGCGTCGTCAAACAGACATACACGGGCCCTAAGGAGGTCGTCATGAAGAAAGATTTCAATCCGTTCGGCGTCGTATCGGACAAATACGGTCACGTTATCGTGTCGGACTGGAGTAACCACGCAGTACATCTGTTAGACATAAGTGGTCAGTTCATTGGCTTTTTACTCACAGAGAAAAACGGAATTCGTGGACCGAACGCGCTCGCTCTAGACAAGGAAGGATATCTTTGGGTAGGCGATACAAAATCGACAGTTTGGATATTCCAGTATCGAAGGAAGGCTGATGACCATGGTTCGTCCAACTCCTCAGCCTAACTCTTAGTGCAATATATTGTGTGAGTGACATGGCGGTGCTGCGCATTATACACGAGTTTCGTGGTCATCACACGTTCATTGGTTGTGAAGAAGCCCGTGTGCAATTTATACTGTTATATACATTCAAAGTAGGGTGTGGCTTTATTTTTCTGATGAACGATTGTTTGGGTTTGAATCTTGAACGTGCTATGTATGGATATATAACGTTACACCAAACTCGTCATAAATTGAAACGGCAATAGACGAGTATTACACACAAGCATGACGCTATAGTTCGCTGACATTTACAACGGATTTTTTTTTATTAAATTTGTAATGCTATAAAGGTATGATTTTATATCAAGGTCATAGTATGAATTCGACCATGGAGAAGTATTGAATGCGGTAACACTTCTCTCTTACAGCTGGGTATATAGTTCAAGTACATGGTAGCTAAGAAAAATATGAGAGATTTTATCTTTGTTATTATGCTAATGTATATATACGAAAAATACGAATTTCTAAGGACCTAAATCGTACATTGGGTCTGTTAAACGGTCTATTGTCTTAATCTTTACTCCAAATTCCTGATAACATCATAACATTATGTGATATTGCTATAGGCGAACAATGCTTTCCTTACCCAGATTTGTATGTGTACTTTGTAGCGTACGGTGTGCAAAGTTTCATCAACTTGATAAAATATTGAATTATAAAAAATCTTCTGAAATATATTTAAATTACTTCTAATGTGTCATAGTTTTGATAAAGTTGTAGAGTCATAAACCATGTATTTTTCAAATATCAATTCAACACTTTTGACAAATATTTTGCATTATAATAATTTTCTGCTAAATCATCGTTAAGTTGACCAGACTTTGACCAAATTGTCCTGGTTTTTAAACCGTTTGTAATTAGGAATGTAACTAACGGGTCTAATCGGTAACCGATACGACATCCTGTTTAAGAACCATTGATGATTGGAACTGAATAGATGTGAGAACAGGATTGAAATAGAATTCAATAATCTATATCAGTGTAATTTTAAATGAACTGAGAGGTAGTTTTAATTGATTTTACCACAGGGGCTCGTTACTTACAAATGTCTTAAATACACATATGCTATACATGTACTGATGTGTAGGTGTACTGTGACCCTTATCAGTATAGCATAATTATGTGTATGATTTGTAACGAACCCCGGTGGTTGGACGGATATGACGAAGGATGGTCATTGAGGTCCCGGTTCAACCTCACTTCCGGTTCGACCGGTTTCCTGTTCCTACTATGAGATGAATGCTGCTGTTAACATACCTGTTTGTTATATCAATATAACCTATATATACGATTAAAGAGAGTATTCAATGAAGTAGTCCAAATATCTATTTCCGCTTTGATGCTCATGGACGATTTTGCTTTTCGATTTTTGTGTGATGCTCTATATATACTAAAATTGTTCCTATATTGATTTTATGTATGAAGTGTGTGTCGTATTTATACATTACGGTGAAAGTTGGGAGTCGAACAGTGTTCATTAAAATACCATTCTTATATTACCTGGCTCCTTGTAATTTGTTGTCTTTAATAGCGAGATATTTGCTATAAAGGACGCTGCTTTCTTGCGTGACAATACTGCAATAGGAAAGATATGTATTGGTAATGGTCGACTCAAAGGCCCGTCTTCATGAAACCATGCTCAAACTCGGATTCTGTGCTCGAGCCCACTTCCACGCCAGTAATAAGTAAATAAAACATCATTTTTCATCAATGATTTGGAGAATGTTAGCACAGTTCAAGCCGAACACTGGTTTAAATGTTAAAACTTACTTTTTGACGGTGTCACATGATCTACGGGAGTTATATACAAGTTGGTTTGAGCACAGAACCTGTGCTTGAGCATGAGAACAGTTCATGAATACGGGCCCGGCACTGTTGACATTAGAGAACAAAAAAAGGAACTCCATATATATTTGATTTCTTGTGGTAAAACGCCAGCGGGTCGTTTTCCAATATTTTTTAAATAAGCAGCAACACTGCGTTTCCGAATTCAGTGTCTTCTCCCTTGTACAAACCCATCCAGTCTGTAAATTAGCCCATACATTTTGTAATCATGATTGTTTTTTTGGGAATTTCGCTTTTAGTAGCGAAAGTTTCATTAAGACGTCACGAAGAAAAGGAAATAACATTAGCGTCATCATCATTATCAAACGACCAATTATATGACTTTTAATAATAACCTTGTAGCTTGCACGATCCTTTGCAGGTTAACTAGTGATCTTTTTCCCTTTTCAGACTGGTTATCTCCCTTGGTTACGCGTATTCTCGTTCACGGAAAGTGCCGACGGTTCCCGATTTATCAAACAGAAAGAAATGCTATTCAAGACAGACTATCATATCAGAGAGTAGAAAGATTTAAAGGGAAGGATCAGCCTATTATAATGACTGAATTTCTCTCGAAAATTCTGCTTCTAAAATCTCTTAAAAATGTCAATTTATTTTTACTTAACTTCCTTATATATCCTCTAGGGACCACTTCTATAAAATATCTCAAAGTTAAGGAAATTCTTAAGCAGTGTATTGTCTATGGGAAATCTTAAACTTGAGGAAATCTCAAGAGTTGAGATGTTTTATACAAGTGGGCCCAGGTGCAGTCGTACATGTATAACGGCAAAACGACAGGTATAACATCGTCTCCTTATTGTACAACCTGTAATTTGTTTACAAAGTTGAGTGCAGTATTGTTAAATGATACGTCCTTTATACAGTACGTGTTAGTAGGACTTTGACCTTTAATACGGGTTTAAACACCACCCTTGCATTGTTAGGAAACAGACATATACTTGCGGGATTGTAAATAACTTGTCACCACTTCAATTCGCCTATAGTCGGATCCCCGCCGGTAAACCTTTTATTTACATAACAGTTGGTACACGTACACGTATATTAACTCTTTAGTCTGATACACTTCACAATGAAGTCTCTGATTAACGAATGGATTTTAAATCACAATATGTGGTTTTCAATAAGTCTGTACAATTCAATGCGAGGTTAAATACGTTCACGCTTGTAACCATACATATGATTCTTTTACAGTACATACGGCGCAGTCTCTGTGAGATTAGAAAGGGGTTTTGACGAACCTTAGTTTAAGATTGTCTTTTAGTACTTGAGAACAAAAATAATGAAATCACATTATCTTCTAAATTATGTAGTAAACTATATCGGCTAAAGTTTGGAGATAAATATCCTATTACGATACTGACGCCCACTTTTGATGTTTTTCCCGCTTGTCATTACAACTGCTCTCTTTATGACGTAAAACCATATATTTATATTCCAACTGCTAGTTCCTTTATGAGCATGGCCAGAAGAAATTGCGTTTAAAGGCTATGAATGCAATTTGATCGGCGTCATTTTGCAGCTTCTCCTTCCGCATCTAGTAACGTGAGACAATCGTTAGTAGCAAACATTTTGGTGACGTTAGGCTGTTCCAGGAATCTTGTTTGCACTGACGGAACTGACACTTCGATATCGGAAATATTAGGGAATACCAATAATTAAATCAATAATGACCGAAGAGTTGCGGGTTCGAGTCACGGCACGGTACTGTGTTGTATCTTTGAGCAATATACTTTACTCCGCTTGTTCCAGTCTACTCAGCTGTAAATGAGTACGTGGTTTGGCAGCGCTAGAATTGTAGAATGCTACATGTGAGCGCCGAAATGACAGCACCGGCGGTATACTCCCCAGGGAGTTGAGAAAGGTATTGTCTGGTTGCAAAGGCCCTGTAACCACGGATAATAATTTGTGAACCGCTTTGAGACGACCTACGAACTTGGTTGTGATAAAGCGGTATATAAGAACCTCGAATTAATATTATTATTATTTAGAATGTATATACATGTATATATACTTTTTTCAATGTTCATGACAGTATGAACATTGGAAAGAGTGTCGTTCAATCCTTATATACAATAATAATATTCGAAGTCATGCCGCAAATTCCTGACATGTATGCGAAGTGACAAATGAATATTTTAACATTGAAATTGTCAGTTAACACAGCAGTATGTTTAAAGAAAAAGTCCCATGCGCTTTGGTTGTGGTGCGTTACAATGAGGAAGAGACGAATAGGCGATGGGATATATATGTAATTGTGTTTAAACCTAAAATACTCACATGGTACAGACAGCCTATACGCCAAATGGATTGCCCGAAAAGGAGGTCGAGACCACAGGGGTTCGTTACAACTGTCTGAAATACACATATGCTATACTGATATGGGTCACAGTATGTTTATTTGTGCTGTGACCCATATCATTATAGCATATGTGTATTTCAGACATTTGTAACGAACCCCTGTGGCAGGACCGATAGAATGGTCAGGGATTGTCAGAAAAAAAATGAGCCAAGGAGAGCGATCAGGGTTGTCTGAACGAGTCTTTATTTATGTTTTCATCGTCGTCGTATTAAAGAGTTTTATGGACCCCTATACCACTGCTCTGTGGTATTCCCCCTATAAACAGTAACTTCCGATTGGATAGAACTGTAGCACAGATCGGCCAGGACACCTCCGTCACTCGGTTAGCGCGATAGTACAAATCCATTACATTATGAAGTCCCGGGTTCGAATCCTGATCTAGTCACCGGGTTGAGAAAACTGCAAATGGTTAACGTATACTTAAGTAATATAATTTATGTATAGTGTGCAGTTGCTGTGAGAATGACGAACAGTCTATTCAAGTAATACGATAAATATGGATTAAATATGATATGTTAAGGCGTTGATGAAACTTTTGATGATGTAGTCGGCGCCCAGATTCTGCACTACGACGTCAGTCTAGGAGAGGAATACGGAGTATATCCGTTTTATTGTTTTCTGTAAAAACAAAAAGATAAACGACAGAGCACGAGGTTATAAGTCTGAAATAGCAGTATACCTATAGCATTGCCTAAAAGGTCATCCCGATACTGCAGGGATTACGCTCACTTACGCTCTCTAGAGAACATATAAGTGAGCGTAACCCCTGGAGTATCGAGGATGATGAACCGTAAGCTGGTGGTTCAACGGGAGATAACTCGTTTATTCGAAAGCTTCATGTGTGATGTGTAATTTCAAAACCATGGTATTAAATTGAAGGGAATCACCATAAAGTCTACAGAATCCATAATATTACACCACCTACTCAAATAAGCTTATATGCTTGAGGTAACGGGGGATATATGTTGTTTTTCCTAAATCGAGAAGCTTTAACCTTGCGGTTTATCAGTACAGTAACCGGATTCCTAAAATTGCAAGATAACATGTAGACATACTAATGTGCTCATATCTAAAACCCTTAATTCATATAATATAATAATAGTATTGGAAAAACATGATTGCTTCAGTCTGCACTGTATGAGTCAGATTCCGGATTAGCTCTCCAAATGTGAAGCATCTATTTGTAGGAGTTGTTTCCCCTCCATCACGAAGCCTCTCCCAGAAACTGTCTAGAAAGGAGCATCTTCCCCAGAAGTGAGGTCTTAATCTCAACAATCAAAACCCCTACAATGTACTCATACTACTGACGAATGGCGAGAAGCAAGACTTACTTGTTTTCATACAATATCTGTCATACATATAAAAGAAGACAAAATCAATGAGACCAGACCGGGATTCGAACCCGGGACCTCTGAACACTAAACGGACTCGCTGCCAGCTGGTCCTCACCAATCTGCAAACACAGGGCTGGAGGATTTGTTTTAGTTTGTTGGTACGTGTGGTCCTATCCTGATAGGTAGATATTGGTCTTAACCCTTAAAACGCCTAATATTACTCTCTACACATCAGGATAGATCCAAACTACTCGTCATAACTCGGCAGATTCCGTACCTACAAAGAAGGGTATCGGAAGCATCCGAGGTTAGCCGAATTAGGTCCAAACATGATTCTCGGCCCCCTGTGGTCAAAAACGAGTACTTTTCTCTCAAACACCGGATAAAAAGTGTTGCTGTAATTTACTGATGTGTATAGGTTTATTATTAACCAAAAATATCCCGAAACCGAGCCCCTGTGCGTTCTATGTGTTTTGTATAAACATGTATTTACACCCCCGTCTTCGTAAATTGAAAACGATGCTTTGTCTTTATTTACAGGTCCCTGTGGACGGGGAACATGATGCATGTACATGAGTAAGTGTATGTGTCTAAAGTATATATATCATATTTGATATCTTATGCATATGTATCATATACATGGTGAGAACCACAGGGACAAGATACTATCGATTCGACTGGTCCCTATAGAGAAAACCTGGACACTGTACAACCGATCGCGAGTGTGTCCATAATACATGCTTGTGATGTACATGTAATATCGCCACCAATAAAATAAATAGTATACATAAATGTAGGTATGAGTATATAAATTACAATACATATGAATATTTTAGGACATTTTACAAATGGAGACGGTTTGACGTAATCCATTCGTAAAATATAACGTTTTTGGTCACACTATACCCTGTGATGATTATAACTCCACAAAAGAAAGCTCACAGG